AATATACACATTAAAAATATATGTAAGCTTAGAGGACTTAGCCAAGATAAGTTATTTATCAATATATAGAATTTATATAAAGTTGATTTTTTTTTTCACGAATTATATCAAAATTAGTCAATTTTGCTGAAGATCTGAAGCAAATGAAAACTATGTATGTATGTGATGTATATACCCGTTTGGAATGCTGCTCGGCAAAGCGACACACCTCAAACAAAATTCTCTTAAAAGTTTTTAATGCAACAGCTGTATATATGTAAATATTTGACCTAATTATGTACAAATCGATGATGAGGCGATATTGCCTAAAAGGTAGTTCAGCTTAAAAGAATTTTCAAATTTCCTTAGTTCATTTGCTAGAGCTCTTAACTCAGTTTCATTTCAAGTTGCTTTGTAGAGTTATAGATAATTGCAAATATCTAATAATAAATGAGCCGTGAATAATACCCATACTAAATAAAATAAAATAATAATAAAATAGGTATTATGTAATTATAAATAAAACAACAACTTACTATAACATTTTTTACTTTTCTGTAGGCTTTCGGATTTTCTTTCTGTTTTTTACAATTTCTTTTTTTGCAGCTGCCTTACGAAAGCTAAAAATGATTTTCAACACTTTGTCTGTAGTCTAGTCTTCTGTTTTCATTTATTTTACTTTATTTTATTTTTATTTCTTTTCATTTTTTCTGTTGCTCTTGCTGTAAATTTGTCTTTTGCCTTTGCACGTTGCTTTTTAATGCTGTCTGACACACTTTTTTCACACGTAAGAAAAACTATTTTATATATTTATTTGATTGAATTTTTTTAGTATAAGTAATTAAAACAAAAATTTTGCTTTTAGTATAAAGACAACAAATTCAAAGCCCAACGTGACAGCAAGTGCTCAACGACTTATCAACTGAAATTGATATGAGTGATTTAACTAAACCCAAACACGATCAATTACGCCATGCCCGCAAAACCAAATTGCGATCCGACAAACGAAGAGATTTACAGCGATGACAGAAACGCACTGCGATTGCAGACAAATGCAACGCGGCCAAACGAAGCAGATGCGAAATGCGAGAGAGCAGAATGAGCAAGAAATTCTAAATGCGAAAAGAACAAACTCTTTGGGAGAATGCCGACAGTTGAATACTCTGCGAGAGATGCAAAATATGTAGAATTATTTGTCATATTGCTTCTAGAGAAGGCATTTGATATAGTCAGGAATTATTATAAATATATATTGTATATATGTTTCAGTCTGCGTAACAGATAGCTCTTAGAGTAAGCATATAGCATTGATTCTGATTGAGCTAAGATTTATTACATATGATTTTTATCAAAAACCAACTTCTCTTAATGAACATTCTAAAAATTTCGCAAACAAATGAAAATACCTCTTGCAAAGGTGCAAACATAATCCAAACGAGATGCGAAACTCGTTTAGTCCCACACTCTTTTTCGTAAGCATACAAGAAATTTACAATTGGCAACATTAGGAAATCTTCTCCGACTATTAGCCAAAGAGACTTTGAACCTTCTCTTGGCTCTTCGACTTTTTTAAGAACTCTAAAAAAAGAAATTTCAATCTAATACCTAAGATCATTATACAAAATAAAGAGAATTAAAATAATTATCTCTGTCTGTCTATAAATGGCAAATAAAATTTATATAATCAAGCTGAAAAGTTTAAGAGGACTGAAAAGCTTCAGCATCTCTCGCAATTCTATGATTCATCATTTACATATTATCTCGACCTGAAATATATATACAAATATATTTGTATGTTGTTTATAAATGTATAAATGAGATAGATATAAAAACCCAAACGTGATAACAGCAATATAAAAGTTGATGTTTTGTTTTAAAATTTGTTGTTGATTTTAGAATACAATTCGAGAAAAAACTAGATTTTTCTATATAGAAAAAGAATTTGAATTATTGAAGTATATAAAAAAGAAATAACATTGAGTTTAGCAATAACGAGTTTAGAAACCACTTTAAGCAACCGCAAATGTTTTATAACTTAATACAGTGAAAAAAAAAAAAAATAAACAATTGAGTGCATATGCACGTAGGAGTATGAGAATACGACGACCTACAACTAAGAATATTCAAAAGTATGTATTTGCTCACACGCATACACATATAGTGGTATATGTATAACTAGCTTAAGGTATGTGTGTGTGAAGCTCAATTTATACAAGCCACCAATACACTTAAGCTTCAGCGAAAACGTGTTTCTGCACAACAAAGATTTCAATTGGGCAACATTAAATACGAAGAGGGAAGGAGATAGCAGAGAGAGAGTGAGCAGAGCCACCAAATGCCTATGCAGCTAGCTGCTTACGCAGAGCAAATACCACGCACAAAAAACCACTTTCATCGGGAGTAAGCGACTATGCAATCCTCAATTTGGAGCGAAATTAGCAATTAAATTAATTATTGATGTTTGCTTGGTGAACATAGTAACAATAGACGACGCACGCGATTATTCAAAGACATTGATCGATTATATAAAAGTACAACGAGCTCAAAAATGTATCACAATTCAGCAATGAATAATTGCGAGTCTGCTTTTCGCAGCTACTATGTATTTCAGATTGTTTTTGGCTGTCAACTTGACTCTGACATTGCCATGGGACAGGGCCACACAAACATACATACATATGTACGTTCGTTTCTGCGTGTGTATGAATGTATGAACAAATGTTGCTTGGGTTTTACTTACGTTGCGGTGTCTTTGGGCACAATTTGCTCGACTTCATCGACTTCGGTCATCTCCACTTCCATATCAGATGATGAAGAGATCTCTTCGCGTTCGCTATCGCTAATTTCGATGACGTCCATTCGCAACAACAAATATGGGGCAGTAAAATGGCCTTTGCTGGGAAGAAGTTTGTTTGTGCTTTTTTTTCTGCTCTTTGTTTTGCACTAGCAACCGAATTGTGCAGTCAACTCCGTACTATCGTCACAGTTATGGAAATATTTAATAACGCTGATGTTTTTGATCTATTGCACAAGCAAAAACAATTCTATTGTAGCATGTTATTAAATTTGTTAAATTAGTCCTAAAATTTTGACCCGACAGACAGCATCAGCGTGCTTATGAAAGAATGAGTAAAGCTATCGATGTTGCTGTTGACACTTGCAACTATTTTTAGAGATGGTGGTGAACAAAATATCGGCCTTAAGAAAGTAACTATTATAAAAAAATGTCAAATATTTAATAATAATGTCCTAGCGATGAAGAAAATATGTTACTGTAAAATAAATCACTTAAAATATATTTTATAATATACATTACTTATAATAGTTAAACAGTGTTTTTGCTTATCGATATATTCAGTATTTTTTTTGAGAAATTAGTATAAACTCAAATATTTTGGCTAAAATATTTTAAAATCATTTTGATATTTGTTTTAATTGACCAAGCATTGCCTTTATGATAAGATCAAATTATATCTCCATTAAATAGGATTACATATGTATAAATGTTGTATAAAATTTGTGAATATATATTTTCAGATGTAATGATTTCTTTTGACTTAAAAGAAACCCGATTATAATAATACACTAAGTAATTAAACAAAGTAAGTAAGTAAGTTATTAAACAAGTAAATTTTAATCAATATATAAATATTTATATTTTTTTTTAAAGTAGCTATCGGTCACGCAAAATTGGGGTTACCATATTCCTCGATACATTTAAATGAGTTATGTAGCAAACAGCTTGTTGTTATATGCTATTGGCGCGAATTTAAAGCAAATATTCGGATGCAAAAAATAAGCAAACAAATGTTAGACAGAGAACATATTCGCTTGACACTTTAATTAATGCCTTTGGAAATCTGGTAGACTAAAAAAAAAAAAAAAAAAAAAAAACAGACATGCGAAGAGGTGCGACTCGATACTAGTTATTGAAACAATAATTACATACATATATAAAATTGTACTCCGACTTCGATTTTAAAATGAAAGTTTAACAATATTTGTATATCTGCAGGCTTTTTAGGTCTTGAAATTGCAATTTTTATAAATATATATTTAGTAGTTGTTTTTATTTTCCCATAGCTCTCTAATGACCAATAAGATTTCCTAAAAATATTTTTATTTTACATTTTAGAAATATTTAAATGTTTTTTCAGACCAATCCG